TTGGAGCTTCGCGGAGAACATTAGTGAATGCCACATCCACCACAATGACATCATGGTATCACTAGATGTGACTGCATTATTTACTAATGTTCCTAAAGAACTTGTACTTAAAGGCATTGAAAACAGATGGCATGAAATTTCTAAAGCCACGAAACTTAGCTTACCTCAATTTTCACATGCAATAGATCTAATTCTCAGTTCAACTAGCTTTTCTTTTAATGACCAGATATATGAACAGATCTTCGGTAGTCCCATGGGGTCTCCCCTATCCCCTATACTAGCGGATATAATTATGGATGACCTAGAGACACACTGTATTAATTCGTTGGATTTCGAGATACAAGTGTATTATAGATACGTTGATGACATATTCCTAGTCCTCCCTGAGGACAGACTCCAAGAAGTGTTGAATACTTTTAACAACTACCACCCTCGTCTACAATTCACCTCCGAGATTGAGAGTAATAAAACACTCAATTTTCTTAATGTGTCTGTCCTCAGGGAAAACAACAAAATGATAACGAATTGGTACAGAAAACCGACATTCTCGGGAAGATACATTAATTACTTGTCGAGCCACCCGACAAAATACAAAATTAATACGATCACAACTTTAGTAGACCAAGCCATTTTACTTTCTGACGCACGTTTCCATAATAGTAACATTAAGTTAATTCAAGACATTCTCCTAAATAATTCTTATCCCCCCCGTTTTATTAATGAACACATTACAAAAAGATTAAAACTATTACGTCATCGACACAATACTAACACTAACGACCCTCCAACTGAGAGCCTTGAACGTAAAAATTATCACACTATATCACATATATCAATGGTATTAGTGAAGAAATAGGACGCATTTTATCCAAATTTAATATGAATATTGTGTTTACTGTCCCTAAAAAACTTGACGTAATTATAAGAAAGGGGAAGGATAAAATAATTAACACGAAACAGACCGAACTTGTCTATAAAATTGATTGTATTAACTGCGACGCGACCTATATTGGCCAAACTAAGAGACATATTGCAACGAGAATAAAGGAGCATTGCAACGACATCAAAAAACCGACATCAAATCACTCTGTCGTAAGCAAACATCGGACAACATTCGGACATGAGTTTGACTGGTCAAATCCTCTAATTTTACACAAAGACCGACATTACAGACGCAGAGAAATCGCAGAGATGTTTTTTATCAAGAAATTTAATAACACTATTAACCTCCAGAAAGACACTGAAAATCTGAACACGGTATATGATAAAATCGTTCGACTCACCTAGTTAGTTTCAACTTCACATTTATTTTATTTATTTGTTTCTCCGGTCCCCTTCTATATGTCATGACGGGAGGATCTTAGCAATGTCCCTTTGTTCTGTTCCAACTATTTAGTCTCTTGGTGACATGACACGTGCGAAGACGTATATTTCTATGTGCGATGACGATTAGCCTAAATTTATATTTTCCTGTAAGTTCTTCTTTTATAATTTATTATTTTATATTATGACTGAAAAATATACTCGTAGTTCTTTTTATAATTTT